CCCAACGCGCGCTCGCGTCGGAACTCGTTTGTCATGCCTTCAGTGGTCCTCCGCTCTTCCTGTCACGCTCCGGCAAGAGGCGCACGCCAGCGGCCTCGGGACAACCGATCGAAATTACTGGATGCCCTGCGATTGCCTAAGTGTTCGAGTCGTGCTTGGCTCAGAAACTGTGAAGTCAGAACTGTTGTTTTCTTTTAAAGGCTTATTTTTGTGTGCATTTAGTAAACCCTCCAACAACTATCTTTTAAGTTTCATTATTGTCCACAAACTTGTCAAAATGCATTTGCATAGCCTGTACTCGAGGATTTACGAGGGAGCTATATGAAATCATCATATCAATGCCAAGATATCTGTTTTTGTGTATATTTCGGTTATACCCAATACCTCTAAAGTAAACTGAAAATATTGCTGTTATTTCCTCTCAATATTCGTTCCATGCCGATAGCAACCATCAGAAAAATACATTTTCACTACAGAAGCTAATGGAAGTTACATGTCATTACTGTGTGGGTTATAATACAAATGTATTTGAATGCAAGAAAAGTAAACAATCTATTCTATATATCTGCCTATGATGATCATATATACAATTATCCTGTCATTTCTGGTATCCATCATCTTCCATGTCGGACGTCATACCCGACCGACTCCTTCACTACTACGTCATCGCCACGAGTACTGGAATAGCAGAAGCTATTATTGGTTTGACAGCCCTGGCACACGCGCGCGCGGGCGCGGGTATACACATGCGCGCGCATTCCTTCCTTCAAACTCAGGCGCTCGCGCACTCAGACTCACACGAGCAATCGTACTCGCACACACACGAACACATACATAAGTGTACATACACTTATACACACATGTGCACATGTGTGTGCGCTGTAATGATTACCTCGGCACATGACTGGACTCACGCTCCTGTCTTCAGTCGTAATTCATATTCCACATCACCCTCCAGCAAACACGCGCACGTGCGAATGCGCGCAAACTCAAACACTCATGTACACGCATACATACTTACACGCACTCGCACTTATACACATGTCCAAATAAACAACTGATATTGGGTAAATTACATTGAAAGTGTTTAGAAAGTTTTCGTTCATTTTCCATATTTTTTCGTTTGATTATACTATGCGCCTATAGTCCAAAATGAAGCCCAGACGTTGATCTTTCTAAAGTTCTTAATTTCATTCAGATCGGATAAGGGTTAGGGAACAGCATAAAAAATAATAATAAAATTGAGTGGCGATGACATCCCCGATGCCGCCATGCGGTCCACCAAATGCTAAATTTAGCCCTGCGATCACGCGCGCGCGCGTCTGAACTTATTTGTCTGCCCTCAGCCGTCCTCTACGCTTCACCTCACACACCAAGAAACAGGAGGCGCACACACACGCGCGCGGGGGGCACACGCACATATGTGCATTCTCACAAGCGCGCACATGAAATAGTTCGAGATGGAGGCAAACAACCGAAGAACAGTTTCCTCACACATGTAACAATACGTCAGGACCCCCCCAAAATTGACCTCCACCGACCCCCTCTAAGGCACCCATCGCCAGGGAAGGTCCCCTTTAGCAATTGTAGTAGGAAGGCATCGAAGGCGTAACAGCAAACACGCATGACAAAAGACAATAAATATATGTGCTGTACGGGACAAACATAAATACAAATATTAAAAATACATAAAGCACAAACAAGAAATAAAGTCTAAAGGGGTGGACAAGAAATATATTACAAAAAAAATCACAATATTGGATAAGATTCAGTAAACCAGAAAAAAAGCAAACTCTAAAAGATGAATAGGGAAATTAGTGTGTTAATATTAGATCGTAGTGGCTTCCTGTTCATGAGAGGTAGTAGAGAAAGGCATTCTTGTTAGAGATTGGCTAGTTCTTACTGAACTACTAGTCATTCAGTATGTGGATACAATATGCAGTGTTACAGGTAATATGTATACAATATTCAACGAAATAAAACTCTTTGTAAAATTGAGATCTGATGTAATTACTTGTGAATACCATGTTAGTATTGACGTATGAGAATGGGTATATTTGCATATCACATTTTTTAGGAGGATGGGAAAAAAGCGAATTTATGTTTTACTTTAAGAACATGATGAACTTAGTGTTTGGACTTTGACCATTAAACTAAGATAAAGATTGTTGTGTGTTTTTTAAAATGAAAGTGATGAATCATCTTTGTATCTTTGGTAGATTTTGCCAAGACAATTTTGCAGTATAGGTTTTCATAGTGACAATAAATCAATCCGATATAGAAAACCGGTTGAAAATCTATGGCATTTGCAGAAAATAGTCTCCAGTGACAGTCGAGGACGATTAGAATTGAATATTTAAGCCAAATTTTCAGGTTTTAACACTCACGTGTGTGTTTATGTGTGTGTATGTGTTTATTTCTTTGCATGATTAGTATGTGCCATTATGTTCTGAAATCTGACCATAAATAATTCCTAATCGCCAACAAGCTTGTAAAATAT